TTAAACGTGCTGAACTCAATCAATCATAACTTACTTTGGCAAAAACTACACCGGCTGGGAATAAGCACAAAATATATTAATGTTATTAAAAGTTTGTATGACATAGCACAAATGTCTATAAAATCCAATGCGACTTTCAGTAGGACATATGACATAACTGAAGGGGTTTTGCAGGGGGACTCCCTGAGCCCTTTACTGTTCTCTCTATTCATTGCCGATATCACCGATTATTTTATCACTAAGGGGGCCAAAGGAGTCAGCATCGACGGTATCACTGAGCTGAACATGTTATTGTATGCTGATGACCAAACTTTGCTCGCAGATTTTCCTATAGATCTGAACCGGAAGCTCGCTATTCTAAAACAATATGCAGATGAAAACAATTTATTGGTTAACACTGATAAAACTAAGGTGCTGGTGTTTACTAAAGGTGGCTTCCACAATTCAAAAAAATTAAATTTTTACTACGGCAGCCAAAAGCTTGAAGTAGTCAACCAGTTTAATTATCTGGGCGTCGAATTCTCCGCTTCGTCTTTATTTTTGCATATGTCAAAGAGAACAGTTTTAAACTGCAAACGGGCTTTCGGTGCGGTGCTGGGAACCATGAGCAGGGCCAAGATAAACAGCTGGGATACCAGAATAAAACTTTACCAAAGCATTGTCATATCTACCATGTCGTACGGGGTTGGAATTTGGGGCCTACGGTATGAGGATGTCTTGGAACGGATCCAAGTTGGGTTTTTTAAACAGTTGCTTTTGCTTCCAAGGTCCACGGCAGATCATATAGTCAGGCTCGAAACTGGCCGCTGGAAAGTTAGTTATAACTTATTTAAGGAAGGTATATCTTGGTTACAGAAAATTTTAAAAATGGATACTTCTAGACTCCCAAGGATTTGTTTTGAGCGTCTTTTGACTCTATCCACTCAGTGCGATATTAAATATAATTGGGTCCTTCAATTAAAAAATATCTTCGAAAAATCATCTGCTGTATCTCTATGGGATGAGATCATCGATAAGCGCGTAAACATTGCCCATTTCGGAAAAAAAGCCTTAGAAACTTACAAGAATTATTTAAAAAATTGTGATTTACTTATGCTAGAAAATTCTTCATACTTATTTTTAGCAAATTCTTTGACATATAACATTCAGAAGAATTACCTGAAGATTGCCTGCTCGCTTTTTATTACCAGAATAATAGCTCAATTACGAACTGCGAATAAAAAATATATTAAGTTTTCAAACAGTGGTTTATCCTACTCAATTAGACCTGAGGAAGTATGCACAGTATGTAACTTGTTAGAGGCAGAAACACTTCAGCATTTATTTTTCATTTGCCCCATGTATAAAGCTTGTAAAGCAGAGTTTCTTGGTAATGATTGTTTGGGCATGGATGACTTAGTTCAAATACTTAATTCAGACAATTTGAATAGCGTATCAAAAATTGCTTATTATACACTAAATATGTTAAAGGTAAGATCCTTTTTGCGCAATGAATGACTAATTTCTTTCGTTTTGCCGAACACAATTGTCCTTCTTCGGCGTATTTTTTAATACATAATGTAATTTTCCTAAGTTAGCTATAGAATAGAATAAGATAGAGATAATAATAATGTAACATTAAAAAAAAACAAATTTCTTGCAATAAGTATACTTAAGATGCAATAAATGTAAAATAAATAAATAAAAATATTAAAAGCTGATTGTAAAACATATAGGTAAGTAAGATTTTACGGTCTGAGTTGTTACAAAATACGAACAATAAAAGAGTTAAAAACATGAACAATACAAAAACAACAACTCAGATACTTAGGAACAATCAAAAAACAAAATTATGGCAAGGGTACAGAATCAACTAACCTAAGAATAAAACTACTGTTATTAACGATTTTAAATTTGAATTCAAACAAATGAATAGGTGTCTGCATCTAGGTGGTGATAAACAAAATAGGCAAGACACGATACACTTTAACAATAATAAAAACTTTAGGTCAAGGCAAACATAAAACACTAATCCCTCAACAAATTCCAGTAGATGGCACTTAAGTTGCAAGTATCAGTTTTAAAATTAACTGTGATATCTTTGAATTTGTTAATGTATAGCATTTCTAGTATTTTTCTTTTTTGCCAATTGACCTCTCTAGCAACTATGCTTGCATTGTCAAAAATCGAAAATATGACCTGTATTAAAATGATGCGTAGCTAATGCAGTCTTCTTACTTTTATCTTGGTTGAGAATACGACAATCATACTTATGTTGGTACAACCTCTTAGACAATTTCTGTTTTGTCTCACCTATATAAATTTTATCACAATTTGAACAATTGACCCTATATACCAAGCTAGACCTATCACCCAACGAGACTATGTCTTTAGTTCTAATAAATAAATTATTCACGACAACTTGTAGGACGTTCTACCCCTGCTTTCTGTAAAACCCAAGAGATGGCGCTATTAATTACGTCATTTACAATAATGCGACGTACGTTTAAAAAACCATAGCAATCTTTGATTGGTTTTTTTTTTGAAGACCTGATATAATACTTGTTACTTCATAATTCATATGAGTTGTTTGAGCAACCTTCTTGAAACTAGCATAATGGGTTGCAGCGAACCCCGGCTCGACAACAATTACATGTGCCTGCGCTCTGCGCAGGAGACCAAACAACCACAATGAAATAGCAATGAACATCCATGGCTTGCATCCGGAATATCAGTACAGTAGGGTAGCCATTCTTTGGTTCTGTCATTCCATTCCCATTACTGTAATCAGGGATATCAGGCAATTTGGATAGAGACATCCTCGAATGCGATAGTGAGCAGCGTTCGCTTCGTGTGTTGAAATAAAGCCTGTGATAGTGTTATAGATTCAAGAACTTTCAGGCCTTGGGTAAACATCAACTTCCTTGCATTATTGTCTGAATCTGTACCATAGTTTATGCTGTACATCAGAACTTTAAAGCGTTCAAGATTAGACATGTGCTGTGATTCCAATGTGAAACTATTCGGTATATTTGTGACGTCAATGAATGTATCAGTGACCTCAGGATAAGCAGCCGATGCATTTCATGCCGTCTTTTTATCTATTCCAAACATCTCAACCCGTGAGTTCATTAAAAAAGAGAAGGGTGTCCGAGCATTCAGGTCTAAGCAATTGACAGACATGATGGATTGAAATCTCCTTAAAGGTCTTTCCCCATTTAAAACATATGGTCACAAGCCTCGCGGCTAATGTGGGTAGGACCTCAGGTTAGGGGTTGCTCTTCAGGAAAACACACAACTACAAAAAAGAGCTTAACGTATTGTCCGTCGTTTCTAACCTGAAACTTTCCGTATGAAGAGCGAGGGGGTGCAGCTTATGGCAAAAACAGGTTTGACGTCAGGTGACCATTGACGTTCTAATGTAGGAAGCCACCAGCTCACATTCCTTTGGAGTATCAGATTAAAATCGACGGACTTTATATTGTCTAGTGGGTACATCACCATAGGGGCACTACGTAGGTGCGCCACATGATTCTCACGTTCGGGGCTCTATGTACAGTTGCAATCAAAAAAAAGTAGTACAAAAATTATTCACCCCAATTAGGCATTCCAACGACCTGTCAAAAAGTGCGTTGTGGCAGAAGTTCATTATCCCGTATATGAGAGTATGTAATTTAAAGCTTTTTAAAGTGCATTTTGTGGTTGTTTTGTGAATGAACTCTGTTTATTTTTTTATTTTATTGACTTCATTACTGTTTCTTCCAATTAAAAATGCCACAAACGGGTCTTGAAGTTGATTGTGGAAGTAGTTTCAACAAGGTAACAAGGATGATGTCAGGCTTTTTTCATTGCCCTTTATTTTCAAAATTTTCCAATTAAAACGTGAAAATTTTTCACTACCACTGTTCCTGCATCTAAAATAAAGCCATTTTCGAAATATTCGTAAGAATCTAAGCTTTTGTAGGCCTGCATTTGCTCATTAATGTGAACTGTGGATCAAAATGTCATATGGACTTTTTTTTAAACTAACCATTCGCCCAGATCCCGATTTTCCTGCATTCAAGTCTTTAAATATTCACTCTGCATCTCATAAAGTATATTATAACAAAGTAAACTGTAATTAGCTTGAAAATATTCCAAATAAAATCAAGATAAACAAACAAACGTCAAATTTTCCAAGGTCGCCATATTGAAAAATCACGTGGTTTGGAAAGCCTAATTTGAGCTCCCAGTGTAACATACAAAGTTTTAACAGGCAATGACATATTCTTGGTTAAAAACGGGTGGAAAAATGTCAAAATAATGTCATCTGAAGCTTTCTAGGTAAAAAACTTGTCAAAAATGCCAAAAATATATCATTTTTGGTTATGAATTAAATTAATGTATAATAGACCAAGAGATTTTGGAGATTTTGTACTACTTTTTTTTGATCGCAACTGTACATATACGGGGATGCAACTGGTTCCCGCACGTATAGACGGCGATGCCCTGAGGGCAAGACTCTCTAGGGTAAGGCGACCCTGAAGAGAAGTGTAGCTACTGCTCCTTTGGGTAAGGGGACCCTGAGGAGAGAAGGACCCAGATGGGTGCCGATACCATGGGTTGCATCGGTTTGTATATCCATTTCGTGTAAACGTTAGTTTACGCGTTGACCTGCTTGAACTGTTGATTGTTGATAAACCATGTTCTAGTTTCAATTTAATGGGTTTTTGATATACAGGATGGTTTTTATTTATAGGCCAGTTAACATATTATATAACTATGACATATTCAACCGTTTGAAGTAATAGATGGCCACCATGTCCATGTCCACTGTGATGAGATACGCTTTGGCATGTCCTTGCTCAGCAGCGTGTTGCAAAGTGCAGCATCATTCTGGTTTAATAGCAAACAGGCCACCAGAGGTCGTGCACAAGTTACTTGTGCGCCATACCTAACACTAACTTGCAAAGTGCACGATTCATATGAATTTTCAATAATTCCAGTTCTGCTATAATATCAAAATATACTTTTTTTTGTAGATCCCGTTGGATTTTGCGAAATCTATAAACGATTACAGCACTCTATCCGATTTACTTCTAAACGTCATTGAGGATGGACCACAAATGGGAGATAAAAATGTTATTGCCAGTATGTAATGGTTTATTTTCTTTCAAAGGTTGCTAAGAGCAAAGTTTGCTAAAAGCTTACTTATTCGAGGATGTTCTTCCGTATAGGCGGTTTCATTTAAATGTGATTGACAAACGTAGATTTGACGCTTGGCTCAATAGAAACATCTTTAGAGGCTGCAAGGCGTTTAATTCATATAGACTGAAAGAAACAATAATTGGGGCATGTGTTTCACTGTTAAAAAATGACACCTGGCATTTTTATTACAAGTAGGTGTTTTGATGTATCGCCCAGTGTTATGTTGTTGAGACCAATAACACTAGGTTCCTTAGAATCGAAGAACCCTGCCTGGTAATGAAAATCATTACTGTTCCTACAGACTCATAGTAACTCTGTTATTCCTTCTGAACAAGGGACCGTCTGCTAAAACATGTTACAGTATTAAAAAATTAAAACTGTGGACATTTAGAAACCTGCTTTTGTTTTCCTTTAAAATTTGTAATTAATTTCCGTCAAGTAGGTATCGATCGGCTAAATCAATCTTTTATACAAATTAAAACTGATTTGAGTAAATTATAATAATAATAGTTGATATTATCAACGATTCCATTTGAGTATGTTAAAGTTTTTCATTGCCTTTTTCGAAGCCTTATATTGGACTACTACAGGACTACAGGTATACCTATTTTCATAGATAGGAGAATCATTTGATTTTAATGTTCATTATATTTCACGAGAAGAACATCCTTGAAGGGTATATATACCAAGATGGAATTTAACTAAGTAATGATCAATAATTAATTTCAGATAGATTTGGTACTGATGAAGATAACGAAAATGGTGAAAGAAGTAAGTACATACTACTTACGGATCATAGAATAAAGCCATCTGAGATATTTTGTCACTGCAACACACGGCGCATGTGCAAATAGTAGTTTTTGTCTGATTTTGAATTTTTGAACAAATTCATTGATAGAGATACCATGCCTTGCAGTGACACCATTCACATGTCTTATTCTAATGACTCAATTTTTTAAAGATTGGTACTTACCATTTTGAAATGTAAATTGAACTTTAGCTTCTGCCCAAATTGCTCGTCCAGCTAAATGCTTACCTGAACTCCAAACAGTCAGAATTGCGAAATCGAATGATCCGAATGTTTTCTACGTTCCTGAATGTACCCGCGTGGAAAGATGTGGAGGTTGCTGTTCTCACCCATTGTTATCTTGCCAACCCACCGAAATTGAAACTGTTACTTTTTCTGTGAGTTTAAATTAATTTCCATTCAAGTATTTGTCAATGCTAATAGTAATTTCAATTTGAAGGTAATGAAAACCGCTTATAATGGAAACAGGAAACTGAAATATGTTGGAAAAGAACCTGTTGTGGTCGAGAAACATACCAAATGCAAATGCGGTTGCAAAATTAAAGCCGAAGTAATGATTCGCTACTCAGCTGTGTCTGTAACCTATTGATTCATTTCAATTATTTTAGGATTGCAACAGCTACCAAGAATATGTAGAATCAGATTGTAGGTGTAGATGCAAAAACTTGGACGAGGAAGAAAAATGTTACAAGAGCAGCCAGAAAAAGCTGTGGAATCCTGATGTTTGCGCTTGTCAATGTCGGGATGTTGTGCCATGCTCAACAGGTTATAATTTCGATTACAACGATTGCAAATGTGTACAGGGCCAGTTCAAACGACGATATGTTTTGACGGAGGGTCAGAAAGAGGAGCCAACATGGACAGATTAGTTTATAGAAAAATAATTTTGTGGTGTTGAAAATTGTAGTTTAAGACAAGGCAAATGAGAAAATAAAATTTACATAATTGTAAAATGTTCTAGTCACTTTTGGTTTAATATTTTAATGACTGTAGGTATGGTAGGTATGTACTTAGACTTATTTTTGTTTTCGTTTTAGATAAATTTTTTAATGGTAAACTACAACTTATTTATTTCTGACAGTATTTCCATTTGTATTCAAAATTCATACCTATACATTCAATGTAAAATAACTGGTAACGGTAACTGGTTACCTACCTTCACGATTTTACAAAAAGTATTGCTGTTTACTGCTTAAAATGCGGTTTTATACAATTTTGCATATATTTATTACAATTTTTAGATCAAATAGGTCCCGTTTTTAAATAGAGTATTGTTTATTATCGATATACCTAATTATATAGGTGAATATAAATGTAGAAAATAAATAAACATATTTGTAGTTGCTTTTTTTTTCTGAACTAACAAAACTGCAGCCTAAATGGCAACTGAATAATGATTGAAATGGAGTCGAGAGTGAAACTATTCCCTTCGGATAAGTTATTTCAATCATATCAGACGACTGATTGAATTGAAAATCGGAAATAACTACCTAGCTCAAAGTCAAAGCAATTCATTTTGGCTAATTTATGCTTACAGACTTTCAAAATAGAAACTGAACTCAATTTTGAATACCTATACAAAGTCACCAGGTAATATTTTTTTATACAGGGCAATCATCTTGGGGACGATAAAAGATAGGAAGGCTCGGGTAAGCTGTCCTGCTCTACAAAATGCCGCTTCGAAATTTGGAACATTGCTCTAATCTAATCTAAATTGCTCTAATTAGTTAGATATACCTATTGAACAAACAAAAAATAAATTACAAACCAAAATACAACTAGAAACTTTTCGAGAAATGGAAGGTGGTGTAAGGTACCTATAGTATTTGTAATACCCATTAAGAATAACCCCATCCTTATTTATCAATCACGAATCAGATGAAACAAAAAATTACCAACAAAAACGAACGTCGTTTGCGGATACGTCAATTTCATCTACAAATAGGAAATTCCTAACCGAATTTTATTTGTGTGTCAAGAAGCGACATACGTTTTGTCACTAAAACGACAGGTAAAGTATAACCATTATCAATTGAAAATCGCATCTCTATGGTGACTACTCAAAATTAGAAAAATACCCCTTATAATAATATAAAATAATTTTCATATTTTTATGCCTAGTCCTGGTACACTATAACAAAGACACCGCACGCCGGCAAAAAAACTCGAAAATTGTTGGCGATGCCGCTAGGCTTTGTCACTTGCCGACAAAGCTAAGCCGCTCTTGTTGACAGTGTGAGATATTCTTTTTAGAAGTGGACAAAAGTATAAAATTACACAGATAATTGAATAAAAATCAATTTCAAATTTGAATTTTTAATAAAGGAATAATAGTCCCATTCAAATATTTATATTTGATTTATTTCAATAGTTTAAAACGGAATTTTAAGGATTACCTGCTATATGAATTTTGCCCATTTATTTAGCGTATTAACTCCACTGTATTCTAGAGGTAAATCAGCTAGAATTTCGGGGCAATGGCGTTCGTCATTTCAGTTTTTATAGAAATATCTGGCGTATGTTTATTCTTTATTAACCAATTTGTGTTCATTTGTCATGATAATAATATTTAGACGCCTATGGATTCCCACGTGACTTCAAAGAGATCAACTGAGCCGCCTTTTTTATGAAATTTCAATTAATAATGGTTAAACTTTACTTCTAAATAGGTATTAAAAATACTATACCTACTTATATTGAGTCCCCCATAATGTTCGTTTCATATGGGGAATTTTTTTATTTGTAGGATATGAAATTTTTTCTTGTGTGCGATCGATCCTGCATGTCCGATAACCTAAACGTATATTTTGACATTGGTCACGTGATCACTGTTGTGGCGGCAAATTCGAAAATTTAGATGCAGAAATGCGAAAAGTGGGGTTAGATGGCAAAATTTCGAGAAAAGTAACTTGGAAAAAGTGATAAGAAGCATGTTTTAGGGCTGTCTGCGAAATTTGGAGGAAAAATAACAAAAAACAGAAAATTACTTGCTTTTAGCCATGGCTCTCTCTTATCCAATATTATTATACAATTTTTATTATTGAAATAGTCCAAGTACCTCAATATTGAATGTGTAGGTATTGGTAAAACAAACTTAAATTCTTCATTGGAATGATTCCTAGAGAATTAAATAAAAATATTCGACTAGCACATGAAACTTTTCTGTAGCAATACCCTGTATCTTGACAGTTTCTGAGATTTCCAATAACTTAATGTTGATACAACAATTGAAAAGATTTGTTATTGAGATTTTTTGTGAAATACATATTTCAATACAGTTCTAAAATACCTTACTTAATTGTCCAGATACTGGGTATAGCTACAGATAAGTTTCATGTGCTAATCAATAATTTCTATTTAATTCTCTTGGAATGATTCCAATGGAGAATTTAAGTTTGTTTTACCAATACACATCAAATATTGAGGTACTTGGACTATTTCAATAATAAAAACTGTATAATATTAGTTGATAAGAAATCCATGGCGAAAGACGAGTAATTTCCTGTTTTTTGTTTTTTTTCCTCCAAATTTCACAGACAGCCTTAAAACATCGTTCTAATCACTTTTTTCAAAAAACTTTTTTCGAAATTTCGCATCTAATCTCACCTTTCGCGTTCCCATATCTAAATTTTCAAATTTGCCGCCACAACAGTGATCACGTGACCAATGTCAAAATGTACTTTTAGGTTATCGGGCATGCAGGATCGATCGCACATAAGAAAAAAATCCATATCGTACAAATAATTTTTTTTCCATATGTAGCGAACATTATATGGGGGACACTGTATAAAGTCTGTTTTTTTATTTAAAGATAATTCTCTAAGTTAAAAATTTAGTACCTAACTATGTTGGCAACACAAGCCTCTTCTATATAAAAAATTTGAAATCATTGACAAAAACAGGTGTGACGTCAGGTGGCTATTGGCGTTCTAACGTAGGGAGCCACCAGCTCACATTCCTTTGGAGTATCAGATTAAAATCGACGGACTGTAAGGCTCAATGTGGAAACTACAGATGAATATTTTTACTTTCTGTTGCGGGAGAGATACTTGCCAGGATATTATCAAATCGTCTAATTCGAACTACCGAAGAGAGCCTCCCAGAGACACAGTGTGGCAGTGGCGACGCCAGGGGGGCCAGAGGGGGCTGGGGCCCCCACTGAAATTTAGCCGGCCCCCCCTGAAAACTTGCTCTCATGTCGGCAACAATGCAATGCAACATCAACAGTCTCTGCTGGTTAATTCGGAATTCAGTGGTGGCACAGGCCAAGAATCGTTAGCTTACAGAATTGCTCATCATCATAAGCGTACGTTACGTTCGCCAATTCTCGAGTCGGCAGGGCCTGCGAGTGACGTCACTACTAATTAGCAACTTATAGTGATGACGTCACCCGCAGGCCTCGATGGAATGCTTGCGATTCAGGTTGTGCTTGTTTTTTCGTCGATTTAAAATGAAGAAAAGGTAATTTTAATAGGATTATAACGTTTAGGAATTCGTTCTTTTGACCTATACTCTTCTAAACTAGGCTAATGCATTTTACGCCAAGTGTTGAGGCTTGCAGCTGAAATGGCAGACATTTTCAGCTTAATAAGCAGTCCTATTAGGTTACGTCGGTTACGTGTTCTTGGGCACAGGCAACCGCGATGCTGCTTTCGCTTTCCTGGGATTTCCCCAGACATATTTAGTGTCAACAGGTATTGTTCGTCGATTTTTAACTGATACTTGCGGTATGAAGAGCGAGGGGGTGTTTCATATGGCAAAAACAGGTGTGACGTCAGGTAACCATTGGCGTTCTAATGTAGGGAGCCACCAGCTCACATTCCGTCCGAGTATCAGATTAAAATCGACGAACAATACCTACTTCCCATTTTTTATTTCAAAGAAGAAAAGCAATAAAATAAAAACAAGTGCCCCCTCTAAATTTTTCTGGCCCAGTCTGCCCCCCCCCCCCCTAACATAGAACCCTAGCGCCGCCACTGCAGTGTGGCTTTGAACCCAAGCGAGGTACCACTGGACATGATTCACAGTGCAAGACAAATGCGAGAAAAATCCACAGAACAAAATCGCGGTTTATACATGGCCTTCATAGATTTAGTGAACGATTTGGTTAACAGAGAAGCTCTTTGGAAGATATTGGCAAAAGTTAGATGTCCGCAAAAGTACATGCAGAAACTCCGCCTACTGCGTGATGATAATATATGAATGCAACCGTCATCCGTCCTAAGCAACGATGGACAAGAGGAGTGTCTCTTCAAATAAGTACAGGCGTTAAACAGAGCCGTGTTATTGCACCCACTTTATTTTCTCTATGTATAGGATCCATACTCCACGTCGAGGGTCACCTGCCGACAGGAATGGAAATCCTGTACAGACTTGACAGTGGCGTAGCTAAGCGTCGGCGACTGCCGACGGCCTCGCGCCCTAAGGGGCCTCGCAAAAAATAGGTTATCGAACCTAAAAATTTGCACTTTTCGATTTTCCAAAATAAAATATAGAGGACAAATAAACTTAATCCTATACGAAACTTCCAAATATCATAGAATTCACTGAAAACTACCAATTCTACTGCAAATCAACCAGAACTCTCAAATCATATAGTTTTTATTTTTTCGGTAGATTGTCGGAAGGATTTGTTAGCGGAAAAATATTATAGTCCTCAGTACATCGACCTTTTTTTTTGTAACTCATGTACATACCAATCTTCCTGAGCCGCTTCATAACACCAAGTCGGACAATATTTTTCATATCTCCACCCTGGGCGATGGGACATTTCGCGCTAGCTCTTCGTGAAGTTGTTCTGACGACCCTGAGGAAGTTGATACATGAACATGTACGTGTAGTTTTAATGCCAATCGACTATTTTTTATATTATATTAACGATATCACATTTGTCGGACAAAAACCATGTGGCTTTGGGGAAGGTCCGACGCCATCAACATGTCGCTGTGTGGCGTCCCTGAGGAAGTTGATACAGGTACGTGTAGTTTTGATGCCAATCGAATGTTTTTTATGTTACTGAACCTTTTACTGCACTTTTTACTGGAATCATTGATGTACCACGCCGAAGGGCTGGTGGTTTTCCTTCTTGCACTTGTCTGCTCTTTAGTTGGGCTTCTAATTCCCGGCTTCTGGGATCCAGCTTGACTGGATTTGGCTTCTTTGCTTTTCGGAGTCTTAGGGCCGAACTCTTCAAAAGCTCCCTGGACTCTTACTGAGCATGGTGATGGAAATATCTTCTGGACGGATTGGCTTCTCACTATTTGAACACTTCTACACTTTTTGTTTCTAAAGCATAAAATGATTTCTGTTAACGAATGGTAAATGTGGCAACGCCTAACCT